CCCCCAGCCCCACGCCAGAAGGGGGTCCCCTGAACTAGCGAAGCCTCCTGGGAAGTGGGCCCCTTGGGGGTCCTCGGGCGCCTCCTGGGGGCGGGCGGCCTCCATGGGAGCGTCTAGGGGCCCTCTTGGCGCCAGGGACGCTTCACGCTGCAAGCCTTTTCGGGATTTCAACGGCTCGTGGCCCGCTCGAGGCCCTTTTGAGCCTCGCCTGGGGCCTTCTTGGGGGCCTCTTGGGGACCTCGTGGGTGCCTCTGGGGCTGTCTTGGGCCCCTCCAGGGCCCGTTTTAGGGCTCTGCCAGAGGCAACCAAGGGGGGACGCAAGAGCGCTTCGGGAGCGAAATGGCAAGAGTGGTGGGGAGATTTAATTTGTAAGATGCTTGAAATTAGTTAGCTGCTCGGGAACCCTCTGGGGGTGTCCATCTTGGGCCGGCATGTAGCCTGTCCTGGCGTAAATTGCCAGGTCTTGTGCCGCATTGTCCTGTCACATATTGCCGTCTCTTGTCTGGCCGTCTGGGGCCGTCTGGGGCCGTCCGGGGCCGTCCTGGCGGCGTCTTGGGCGTCTTGGAGTCCGTGACACGCCAGTCCCGTCGCGCCCGGGGACGGGAGGATCCCGCCCGACTTGTTAAGGGAAATCCTCTCGTGGGGTCTGGAGAAGGGGGCCGCGGCCTACTAAACCAAGAAGACGACCCAGGATGGCTGCAAAATGGCCTTAGCGTATCAAAGATGGTCCCCAAGATAACACCAGATATGCCAAGATAGTTCAAACCGGCATCCGGCATGCACCCAAGAGGCTCCAAAAACGCCCCAAGACGGCTCCGGATGGCATCGGAAATCCCGCGGAATACACCGAAGAGGCCTGAATATTTCGGAATCCGCTGCGTTGATGTCGTACGATAAAGATAGTATCGCCTTGTTGCTTCCGAAGGGCTTCTGAGGCGTCATGGTAGCTCCAAGATGGCCCAAGACAGCCCTGAAGGCCGAAAAGAGCTCCAATACCGCCCCAAGCGCCCCAAAAACGTCCGACGAACGTTCCGAGAGGCAATTTCTCTGGCCCCAACGGAACGACACTTAGCAAGGACCCCTTTTTGATGGCTGGCGTCCTGTGTTGGCCAAGACGGGCCCCGAAGGCCCGCGAAGCCCCAAAAGAGCTTTAAAAAAGTCCCGAACGCCTCCAAAATTGTCCCGAGAAGGCCTCATGATGGCCCGCACAAGCTTGTGGGAGGCTCTCAGAGCAAAATATCCGCGAAGAGAACGATGGCTAAGTAACTACTGGGTCCGACCAGGCAGATGCCGAGTTTCGGTTTGACGGCTGCCCCCCAGAACTTCCCTGATGCAGGCAGCTCGCCCAGGAATCGCTCCTGGATGGGCTGCGTGTGTCGCTGAAACGTCGACCATAACGTGCCCAATATGGCAGGAAGTCTGGCGAAGCTTCGGCAAGCGCCCATGCGTATTCACATCCCGCCCAGGCCGACCATGTCACGTGCACCTGGCTACCTGGTACGCCGGCGGTGCCCTCCATCCTCTGGGGCGCACGCCAACCCAGGTCCATAGCACGGACCGGCCGTCATGGCATTCCTGTGGGCCTACCACCAATTTTTAGAATGATCGGACGTTTTCGAAACAGAAACCATGTTGGACAACGCGGACCCCAAACGGTGTTTTCAAGCATACGACGTGGTGCATTTTACGTCGTTCAATTTATTTTTGCCAACGAATGGACACATCCCATATTCTTGCAAACATCCCACCCACACACCCGCAACTTGGTTCGCAAGACCCATGCGGTGGCGATTGCGATGCATGCTTGGCGTTGGCTGGTGCATCTGTGCGGCCGCGCCAACCGAAGCAGACGCGCGCAGTGGCCAGCTAGTTTGGCGCCACCGCCGCGGCCGCGGTGGCGCTGACAGCCGTGCACATCCCAGCTGGCATTTCAATGCGAATCGGCGATTTGGGCGGGCGCGGTATCATGGCAACATCGACAACGGTTGACACGATGATGATAGTAGCGATGCCGGTGACGATGCTGACACCGACAAAGGCGCAGCCAGTGCGGGCGCCGATGCCGATCACGCCGACGACGATGACGGCGCCCTCGCGTCGGTGATGAAGGCGTTGGAACGAGATCGACACGCGCGCGCGCGGCCGACGCGCGAGAGGGACCCGGATGGTCATATTTGACACGGATCATGCCCCCCCCCCCCCCCCCAGCACGCGCGCAAGGGCGTGCGAATGATGTCGGCATGCGGTTCCAAAAGCCCGTTTGGCAGAAACCAATGAACATGTTGATAAAAAACCAGGCGAAGAACCCAACCATATGCAGCTGTGAATACCGCAATTCTGAATATCATCTTCGCCCGCGCTCCCTACGGGGCCACTAACCGTGTGAGGGGCGTGCCGACATGCGTGGTGGGGCACAAAACGCGAGCGAAAACGATAGGTCTGTGTGCGAGAGACTGAGAGCGAGTGAGTCGGATTGTGGATGAGTCTGCGCGCGCGTGAG